GGCTAATAAAACAAAAACCCATGCCATTCAATCAATGACTCAAAATCACATAGTTATGCGATGTGTGTGGTTCTGGTTAAATTAAATAGACATTCAACACTTATTTCCACTTCCAATGTTAAACTTCAGAGGAGAAATACAGCGTAGGCCTACACCAACAACCCAATTCCTGTCCTGGCCATAAGCTGAAATAGCCTAATACATAGGCTACTGGCTCTGGGTCAGAACTAGTCTATATCTACTTCGAGTTAGTCTAGTAAATTAGTCCGTAGCCGGTGTGTTTTAGTAGCGTCTTACCGAATCCTAGTGACTGTCTCTGGACTTCACCAACTGTCCCTCGCCGCTCCTCCGCGCGACAGCTGAGTATTTGCCGGTGGAACTCCGCCTGTTCAAAGCGCGATGTCAGCCACGGAGGACCCGCCCATCAATCCGTCGGGCAGACGGTCGGATTGTTCCAATCCACAATCCCATCGATGGGAATAGACAGCCTGACTGTCTACATCATTTGTTGCGCTGACTGAGGCGTTTATCAAATTCAGTTCACCCAATTCAGTTCACCCGAGTCAATTTATCCAATCCATTTAATCATTGATCCACTCAGTGAGGTGTTGGTTTACTTGACTTCCATTCCTGGGAGGAGATAAACAGCCTGGACTAGTCTATATCATGGCTCTGCTTCACTCTGAGAGAGCTGGGATTCTACTCTAAAAGAAAACAGAGACATATTAGGAGTCTCTCTCTCTCCCTCTATGTGAGAGAGTGTGATAGCAGAGGCAGATTTTTCCAATGCCCTTGGATGGTACTGGAGGCTGAGGCGGTGTGTGTTTGTGTGTATGCCCCTGGATGGTACTCCAGGCTGAGCTGTGATATAAACAGAGTTGGTACGTGTGATCACTGGCAGTCAGGGACTAGAACCTTCACACACACACACACACACACACACACACACACACACACACACACACACACACAGAGAGAGAAGCCTGAGGAGTGAGTCAGTCTCTCACTCAGCACAGAGACAAGGGCTACATTTCAATAGTCTTAAGTGGCTTCCTCTCCTTGTGTCCTTTCCTTAATTTACATAAATCTTACATCACTTCCATTCATCCAATGTTGTCAGTTCAGTACAAATGAAGAGGAGAGGAGACAAGGAGAGGAGGCCATTTTAGACTATTGAGATGCAGCCTGTGTCTCCTTCCCAATCTTCTGCTCTATATATACTGTATTTATATCTGTCCACATGTCTACCTCTTCTCCTTTTCCTTTCTCCTCTTTCAAGAGGATGTGTTATGTCATCAGTAGAGAGTTATGCTGTAAGAATATCTTCTTTGACATTTTTACCGTTAAGGACATTAACCACCTGCTTAGTACTTACATCCCATTTGAAAGAGAAGATGATTATACATGTAAATGTACCTCCAAGAGAGATAAGAGAGCGCAGAACCATTAGGAGGTGTGGGGAGGGATTGAAGAGGTGGAGATAGGTGGAATGGGTGGAGAGGTAGAGATGCAGGCATGTCACTCAAGGTGGACAGAGAGGAAAGGGGGAGAGACAGAGGCTAAGGGGGAATCTTAGAGAGAGACAGAGACAGAGAAAGTAGAGGAAGAGAGCGAGAAAGTTGCCCCAGGATTAGTCTGGCTATAGCTTGAGTCATCCCTTTCACTTCGGTGGTGAGGAGATGTGAAAGAAACAAGTGACTCGGTAGAGAAGAGCAGCTCTCGTGGGAGGAGTCTGTCTGATAAACCGTGCACATGCATCCATGCAGTATGTACACTGGTTCTGGTGTCAGAGTACATACCATACAGTACAGTTTGTCTTCTGTTGACATTTCCTGAGACATTCCCCTGTGGCCAGTTGGGTTTCCCTGTGGCAGCAGAGATACCCTGTACAGCTGTCAATTGTGTGTATAGTTGTGTTTTACTATAGACATAAAAGTGAGTGTGAGAGCAATAGGGTAATTTGAATCAATTTAATTGAATAAACGTTATTAATCCTATAAGGGGATTAACACATTGGGTAACATTTCTGTGAGTGTAATATTTCTGTGAGTGTACACAGGAAGGCTCTAGACACTACACTACTGACTGCTGACCCAATGTTTGTTTCCATGACAACAGGAGGAGCTGCTAGACAGTGGAGCCCTCTGAGTGCTCTCTGTCAGCCTGCTCTCTGTCTGTCTCAGCCCTGTCCTCTGTCTGTCTCAGCCTGGTCTCTGTCTCAGCCTGCTCCCTGTTTGTCTCAGCCTGGTCCTCTGTCTGTCTCAGCCTGGTCCTCTGTCTGTCTCAGCCTGGTCCTCTGTCTGTCTCAGCCATAGATCTCCTAGCAACCAATTCCATGAGCAGCAGCACTTAAGAATAGCTCCTCCTTAAATTGCCATTTCTGTAAAAAAGGTGTATTATATGTTAACAGTTTAGTCATTTTAGTGCATTGCTGTGTTCTGCCCATTTAGATGAATTGGAAGATACTTTTCTTTTGTGGAAATAGTTTGGAAAGATTTTGAGATCGACTTGGTTCTTGCAAGACTCATCTGCAGTGCAGAATCCTCAAGCAACACAAGGATAGGGAGACTATAAACCCAACAAGGACAACAATAATTAGGACATAGATAAACAAACACAAAACCAACAAAGGGAGAAAGAGGAAGGATTTCTGAGGAATTTCTGGAGGATAGTTCAGGCCTTGATAGGGAAACAAGCATTCAGACGAACAACCGAACAAGGAGGTGGGAACATTCTGAACATTGAGAGAGTATCTTAATTTATGTGTAATATGTTGTTTAATTGGAAAAACACATTTCATATCTTTATTTGTATTATTCATAAACGTGAATTGTTTAAAAAGTTAATTTATCTATTGGTGCATTATTTAAATAAGCATTTTTATTAAGAGGCACATGCACATCATTCTAGAGTAGAGTGCATTGTTTAATGAGGTCACCATGGAGATGAAGATGGATGCATTCTCTAAGCATTGTTTCAGAGACCTTGCCATCACATATCTTGAAAATGTTACAAGTGAGTCAGGAAAAAAGAAATTAAAAAAGAAATTGCTAAGAGAATCCCCAGAGACTCTGAGGACAGACTTCATTCTAAAAGCGGATGATCCTAATGCTTGGCACACAGCTTTCCACAAGACCAACAATTAACTTAAAATGTCCGAAAACAGAACAATGAGGCAACTGTAAATTGAGTCCACCCCCAAATTTAACATGAATATTTATAATAACGGCTGATGGTTCAAGGTTCGGAGGCCAGTCTGGATCAATTTGTCCACTACTTCGACCAAATAAAACCTCCTGTTGCTGAACTTAAAACCTCTCCATTGTCACTACCTACAGCTTCCACTCCCTCTGTACCACAGTATGTAGTCCCCAGTGTCCCTCCCTCGCCTGCAGCAGACACAGCCCTGAGCATGTCTCTCTCACACTTGACACATGCAGTACCACAGAACATTATAGAGGAGGAGATCAGCCTGTTGTGTCAGCATAGGGATGAGATCCGAGAGCTGCAGTGTGCAATGAAAAATGTTGAGGAGGACAACCAGGCTCTCAGGATGGAAGTGTGCAGACTTAGAGTGGAACTGTCCAGCACAGTCAACACCAACCACATGCACGTCCTGCAGAAGGAGCTACATGAGCTAAGGAAATCATTTCTCAGCCACCCCCATCCACTCTACAAAGAGTCCCACAAAAACCCAGAACCAAGCCAACAGCTGAATCAGAACCAACCAACCAATGCACCAACCCAGCTGACCCCCTCCATCCCCATCTCACAGCCTATAATTACTCCCATCACTACTGCCATACTCCACAGACCTCACAAGAAACCCGACATTATATTAATGATGGACTCCAATGGAAAGTTTATGCTAGAGAATCAACTTTTCCAAAATAAAAAGGTGGCAAAATTATGATGCCCCACAACAGAGAGAGGTATGGAGCTCTTGACTGTGGCCCAGCATGTCTCCCCATCATTCACATGGGGACCAATGACCTGCGTGCACAACAGGAGAGGGTGGCCACATCACTAAGGGGAGTGAGAGAGGGCCTCCACCATCTTCCCCCTTGCAAAGATTGTA